CGCGCCCCGCGGTGGAGGCATCGGCCCGGGTAGCAGAGACCTCGGGCGGCTTCAGGGTCCAGGGATGAGGGGCGGGGTCCTAGGAGCCCCTTCCCGAGGAGGGGGAGGGGGACTGGCTACAGCCACGCGGCGGCTTCCCTGAAACTCTTCCCGCGCCCAAATCCCACGCGGGTGGAGGGGGTGGCGGCTGGAGAAGCCCAAGCCCCGGAGGGAACTCCTAGAGGTGGAGCTGCGCGGGGACCTGGATTTCTCTCTGGGAGGCTCGGCCTTGCGGACCTCCATTAGCAGTGCGACTTCCTGAATGGAGGTCGAACTGACCTTTGGAAACCCAGCCCATCCCCTCCAGGATGCGCGCAGCGGGCAGCGGCGCTGGCAAACACCTGGCGAGTCAAGGTGTTTGCTGGTCTGAGGGCACACAGGCCTTGGTAGATCCTGGGAACGGCTGGGCACTGCCCAGTGGCTGGGTTGGGCTGGCTGGCTCCATCCCCTGCTTCCAGAGGAATGCTGGTGAAGCAGTGGGGTGGGTCACCTGCCTTCTCCCAGGGAAGGTAAATCTTTAATTTCTTCCCGGGACAAGGGTCAGGGGCTGGAGGAATGGGGCTCTGGTCCTTCATCCAGTTCAGCTGCTCTCTGCCCTTGCTGGTGGGCACATGCCTGGCCTGTTGTAATGCCCCCCGGCCTCTTTGTGCGTGGTGGGGTGTAGGACAGGGGTTAGGGTACTCGGGAAGAAGCTGGGGAAAGGGGATAGATTGGACCCACCCTTCCGCCTCAAGATCTGAACCCCTGCCTCACTCCATCCCCGTGCCAACTCTCAGACCTAGATATTGGGTTCACACACATCCCCCCTCCCATTTTATAAGAAAAGAAACTGAGGCCCAGAGTGGAGAAATGACAGACTAGAAGTTACAGCTCATAAGGCTCTTCCGGCCTTGACTTGCTCAGGACTCCGGGTTCTCCAGGGTCCCCTTGGAGGTTTGTTTGGATCCGGGCACACCCTCTTCCCAGCTGGGTGCCTTTGGGCGGGTGATTTCACTTCTCTGAGGCAGAGTCCTCTTTGCTCTCAGAGTTGCTGTGTCCATTCTGGGAGATGGTGTGCCCAGCACCCAGCCTGCCCACCCTGCTGTGCCCTGGCATTATTAATCACATCTGCTGCTATTATCATGGGGCCAGCGTCCAGGGGTGGGCACTGCCCAGGCTGTTGCCAGGAAGAGCCCCATCTAGCCTCCCCACACTTGTGGCTGCATATGGGTGAGTCCTGAGCAAGTTACTGTTTAAACAGGTGGTAGCCGTGGGGGGCTGGGCGGGTTCAGGCCTCAGCACCTGGCACGGACAGGCATATGCCACAGGGGCCTCTGCATCAACCATGTGGAACAGGCTGAGCCCTGTTCCCGTGAGCCCTCCTCCTCCTCCCCGCTGCCCATCACCTCCTCTTGTCCACTGAGAGGTAGCCTAGTAGACCCTGCCTCTCTGGCCTCACATTGGGGACAATGGGGTCACTTACCAGCTTCCGCAGGGCGCCCTCATCCAGCCCAGCTAAGGCCTCGTCCGCCATCTTGCTGGCCCCTAGCTCCGTGCGTCCCCTCCTGGTGAGATCCTCAGTGCCTGTGGCACCTAACACCAGCTCAGGGAATTCTGCAGGGGACAGAAGGTTCAGGGGCTGGAGGAATGGGGCTCTGGTCCTTCATCCAGTTCAGCTGCTCTCTGCCCTTGCTGGTGGGCACATGCCTGGCCTGTTGTAATGCCCCCCGGCCTCTTTGTGCGTGGTGGGGTGTAGGACAGGGGTTAGGGTACTCGGGAAGAAGCTGGGGAAAGGGGATAGATTGGACCCACCCTTCCGCCTCAAGATCTGAACCCCTGCCTCACTCCATCCCCGTGCCAACTCTCAGACCTAGATATTGGGTTCACACACATCCCCCCTCCCATTTTATAAGAAAAGAAACTGAGGCCCAGAGTGGAGAAATGACAGACTAGAAGTTACAGCTCATAAGGCTCTTCCGGCCTTGACTTGCTCAGGACTCCGGGTTCTCCAGGGTCCCCTTGGAGGTTTGTTTGGATCCGGGCACACCCTCTTCCCAGCTGGGTGCCTTTGGGCGGGTGATTTCACTTCTCTGAGGCAGAGTCCTCTTTGCTCTCAGAGTTGCTGTGTCCATTCTGGGAGATGGTGTGCCCAGCACCCAGCCTGCCCACCCTGCTGTGCCCTGGCATTATTAATCACATCTGCTGCTATTATCATGGGGCCAGCGTCCAGGGGTGGGCACTGCCCAGGCTGTTGCCAGGAAGAGCCCCATCTAGCCTCCCCACACTTGTGGCTGCATATGGGTGAGTCCTGAGCAAGTTACTGTTTAAACAGGTGGTAGCCGTGGGGGGCTGGGCGGGTTCAGGCCTCAGCACCTGGCACGGACAGGCATATGCCACAGGGGCCTCTGCATCAACCATGTGGAACAGGCTGAGCCCTGTTCCCGTGAGCCCTCCTCCTCCTCCCCGCTCCCCATCACCTCCTCTTGTCCACTGAGAGGTAGCCTAGTAGACCCTGCCTCTCTGGCCTCACATTGGGGACAATGGGGTCACTTACCAGCTTCCGCAGGGCGCCCTCATCCAGCCCAGCTAAGGCCTCGTCCGCCATCTTGCTGGCCCCTAGCTCCGTGCGTCCCCTCCTGGTGAGATCCTCAGTGCCTGTGGCACCTAACACCAGCTCAGGGAATTCTGCAGGGGACAGACATAAGTCAGGCCTGTGGGGGTCTCTTCCAGTGCCTCACACACATCCCCCCTCCCATTTTATAGGTAAAGTTTCTCCTCTTACCCATCATTCATTGCTGTCCTATCCTTGCTACCTGTGATATGGCTTCTGGTTGGGAGTTGCCCTCTGCTGGGCCCCAGCAAGGCCCACCCAAGCTGTGATCACCACCAGGGGGTGCTCGCCAGACTCCACAGTTTCCTGCCCCACCCA